CCTCGGCACCGTCGGATGACTAAGGCCAACTTTCATCCTTGCTGGGTGTGAAGGATTTGAACAACCTGTTAGAATAGGGAAGCCTTATATCTTGAATGTAATGACACCACACACCAAATGACAACATGACATCATTGTCTGCTGCATCCACACTACCAGTACCAACATCAAAATACTACCCAGAAAAACAATATGCAAACTCAAAAACCATGAGACCAGATTACAGCAAAGTTAACCAACAAGAACTCGCCAATTTCTCCACAAACACTCGACATCAGCAGTAAGTGTCTTATTTCCTTCCTGAATCATAGCTTCTAAAGAGACTTTAACAGGAAAAGAACGACTGCATCAAGGTCATGACAAGCTTGAGGGGATACATTTTCATGCTTCACTAAGTTCCTCTCTCTCCAGAGATAATACATTGTTGCATTCCAAGTAAATTCATCCTTCCAATCACTTGCAGATCTAGGAATTGAGAGTAGCTGTAAAACTTGTTCCCAAAATCTGCTTTGAGAATACACACTTAAAGAGCAAGTGCATCCGAGATTCTTCATGTTGTCCGCATAGCACACAAGTGCTGTCAATGTCAGCCCAAGTTTCACCCTGTCCAATGTGTGCAACCTATTGTGAATGACTAGCCAAGTTATAAAGCCATATTTTGGCAATTTAGACTTAAACCATACAAGCCTAAGCCAAGTCACTGTTCATGCATTTCCTCACTCTCTCCTGAGCCTCCTTTACAGAGAAAGAGCCACTAGATGAACTAGTATATACCACTTTGTCTATGGGGCCAGAGTTCAGAGCAATCAACCCACACAAGGCCATCTGAGTTTCAAGCAGATCGTAAGAACTTGCTGGGGACCATCTCCATTCCATTTGCCCCAGTAACATCCACAACTGTGGCTTTATAACCTAAAGCTGAATCATAACCATTCCGAAGCACATGTAACAATTTAAAATAAGGTGTTCAATAAGTTGTTTTCAAGAAGGAAGTTTTCAACTCCTTATGGTGGAATGGATTGGCATTGTATCCCTTCTGCTTAATTTTTTTGATGTCTCCAACTTTGGCAATTCTTCTGTTGGTGCTTTTGAACAGACGGAAACAGTGGAGCTTGCAAATATTCACTCTCCCCACCTTGGAAGGCATGAATGCACTTCCCCCTTGATGCTGGCTTTCTGTGTAATATTGACCGGTTATGCATTGTTGATTTTTTGGGGAATAATGGTCCGACCACCACTAACACCCCACAGCAGGCAGTCAGAGCTCAGTGAGAGTCAGGTCACAATGACTCGGTTTTGAACAAAATATTTTGTAGCTTGAGAGCAGTGGAGCATTTTATTTTATTTTTTAAAAAATTTGCATTGTTATACTCTCTAAGACAATGCATCTAATAATCCTTGTAGTTTCCCTGGCAATAAGACTTGTCCAAATGAGATGTTTGGTAGTTTGTCTCTCAGTGTCATTACTTTTCCAATTTTCCGCTTCCATACCTTTTCCTATTTCTAATGGCTGATTTCCGGAGAGAATGCAGGGCTAATGCTAAATCTACGGGAAAGAATGATGCGAGAAACTTACGACTTCAACTTCAAACCAAACTGTCAGATCCTCTATTTACTGGAAAGAAAATAGAAGGAGACGGGTCTGCTCGCATTTCTGTTGCCTTGATCGATGCGAATGCAGGGGATGTTGTTACATCAGGTTCGGAATCCTCCATCAAGTTGGACGTCGTCGTGCTTGAAGGTGACTTCAACAAAGATGATGAGGATGACTGGGCTCAAGAAGAGTTTGAGAACTACGTGGTTAAAGAACGTGAACGAAAGGGGCCACTTTTGATAGGAGATCTCCTAGTGACGCTCAAGGGAGGTGTTCGGGAGCTGGGAGAACTGATATTTACTGACAATTCCAGCTGGAATAGGAGTAAAAGATTCAGGATAGGACTTAAGGTGGCATCGGGTTATTTTGGGAATACACGAATCCGAGAAGCCAAAACAGAAGCCTTCCGTGTCAAGGAACATAGAGGAGAATGTAAGTCTTTCCTAGTCCATTACAGTACATATAAACCTTGTCCTTCCTTTATGACTGACCATAAACATGGTTTCGGACATGCAGTCTTCAATTTTTTAATTGAGAGCTTTATTTCATACAAACCTTTACATCTCCAAAGAAAATTCTGATGAATAAAAAACGATGGGCTTCTATGTTATTAGCAAATGCTGACACTTTGGATCAGTTTTAGGAGAGAGTCTGCACGCCTACAGAAGTTTGCTTCAGCTCATCAATCTAATATTGTCTGGAACTTTATTGTATATGTTCTGTCCATTTACAGTATCCAAGAAACATGATTTACCTGCATTTGACGATGAGGTCTGGAGGTTGAAGATTGTGGCAAAGTTCTCTGTCTCTCTCTTCAATATAGTTAGTGGTAAAAGAAGATACAAAAAGGTATATATAGGCTTAACCTTAAGCCTAGCACAATTACAAAAAATGCCCCCAACTTGTTAACACTACAATAAATAATAAACCCAACACTCCCCCTCAAGTTGGAGAGTACATATCAAAAAAGCCTAACTTATTGCAAATGTATGAAACTCGTCCACGTCGAAGAGGTTTGGTGAAAATGTCTGCTAGCTGTTCCTCAGACCGTGTGTGCACCAACCGTATATCACCACAATTCACCTTTTCCCGAACAAAGTGACAATCAATCTCTATATGCTTTGTTCGTTCATGAAACACTGAATTGCTAGTAATGTGAACAGCAGATTGATTATCACAATGAAGAGTAGATGATCCAGTCATAGGTAGTCCAATCTCAGTCAACAACATACGAACCCATTGGAGTTCACTTGTAACATTAGCCATAGCACGATACTCGGCCTCTGCACTAGATCGAGAAACAACAGATTGTTTCTTACTTTTCCATGACACAAGATTGCCACCAACAAAGACACAGTATCCAGAAGTAGACCGACGATCCACAGGGCAACTGGCCCAGTCTACATCAGAGTATGCTGTCACCTCCAAAGATTTAGGGTCAGAATAACCAGCTATATGAAGATGACCCCGATTATGGAACACAAGTCCTTGACCTGGAGCCCCCTTCAAATAGCGAACAATGTGTAGAATGGCTTGCCAGTGAGTGGTATGGGGAGAGCTCATGAATTGACTCATCACACTAACAGCAAAGGAAATATCTGGACGAGTAATAGTGAGATAATTTAACTTTCCTACTAACCGACGATATTTCTCAAGATCATGAAGAAGCTCTCCATGTTCATTATCAAGTCTCACCCCGGGGTCCATAGGTGTGTCACTAGGTTTAGCGTCATGCAAGCTCGCCTCCTTAAGAATGTCAAGAGTATACTTTCGCTGAGAGAGAGCGATACTGTCATTAGTATATGCAACCTCTATGCCAAGGAAATATCGAAGATGACCCAAGTCTTTAGTATTAAACTCTTTCTGCAGAAACTGCTTAAGGCACTGTATACCTTCCACGTCATTCCCAGTAACAATAATATCATCAACGTAAACAACAAGAATAACACACCCCTTTGAAGATGACATACTAAACACGGAATGATCCACACTGCACCGATGCATGCCAAAAGTAATAACCGCATCACTAAAGCGGCCAAACCAAGCACGAGGAGATTGCTTAAGTCCATAAAGGGCTTTTTGCAGCCGGCACACCTTCTCCCCCTGAGCAACGAACCCGGGTGGTTGCTCCATATAAACTTCCTCGTGAAGATCACCATGAAGGAATGCATTTTTGACATCAAGCTGATAAAGAGTCCACTTAAACCGGGCAGCCAAAGAAATAATGATACGAATGGAAGAAATTTTGGCCACCGGAGAAAATGTCTCATCATAGTCAATACCATAAGTTTGAGTATAACCCTTCGCAACAAGACGCGCCTTCAAACGCTCAATTGAACCATCGGGACGATGTTTGATGACAAAGACCCAACGACAACCCACCAATTGTTTGTCAGGAGGCAAAGAGACGAACACCTAGGTCTTATTATAATGCAATGCAGCCAACTCCTCCTCCATAGCACTAGCCCAACCTGGATGGGCCAAAGCCTCCTGCACACTACTGGGCACAGATACAGACGCAAGAGATGACACAGAGAGACATTTGAGGGGTTAAATTATGATAAGACACATAATGAGAAAGAGGATACCGAGATCGGGTACGGTGAGCAATAGGAGAATCGGCAAGAGTTGGTGGAAGAGGATCAGAAGCTGGTGCCGGAGGTGGTGGTGGGACGTTTGCTGGTGGAGAGGCACGACCCCAAATAGGGCGAGGACCACGTCTATAGACTTGAAGTGGAGTTGGTCTAGGTAATCCTGAATCAGGCGGAGCATCAGTAGAAGGAACAGGTGGTGGTTCCGGCTGAGAAGCAATCGGAGTACGCGGCAACGATTGATAAGGTCCGGAAGGTGGCAGAAGATCCATCGTTAATGGCGCCTGAGGAGAAACATTGCCAAAATATGCCTGATCCTCGAAGAAAGTTACATCAGCAGAAACATACTCCCGATGGCGAGTAGGACTATAACAGACATATCCTTTTTGAGTACGAGAGTAACCGACAAATATACATTTTTCAGCACGAGGCGACAATTTATCCAACCCAGGAGACAAAGAATGAACGAAACAAACACACCCAAAAATACGAGTACGAACAGTCCACAAAGGACGATCGGGATGAAGAAGAGCATAAGGGATAGCTCCCTTCAACACAGAGGACGGAAGACGATTAATAAGATGACATGCTGTAAGAAGAGCATAGCTCCAAAATGACTTAGGCATATGGGTATGGAGAAGTAAACAACGAGCAACATCCAACAAATGACGATTCTTTCGTTCAGCAATCCCATTTTGTTGTGGAGTGTGAGCACAAGAACTCTGATGTAAAATACCATGCGACGCAAGAAATGGAATAAAGGTAGAAGAAGAAAAATATTCACGAGCATTGTCAGTGCGCGAGCATTGTCAGTGCGCAAGCACTTAACAGGATAGCCATATTGAGTACGAACTTCATTATAAAAATGGCGAAAAGAAGAAAATACTTCGGTACGATCTTTGATTAAGTATAACCAAGTCGTACGAGTACAATCATCAATAAAGGTTACGAAATAGCGGAAACCAAAAGAGGACTCCCGACTAGGACCCCAAACATCGGAGTGGACTAGCTCGAATGGCTGAGACGCACGACTCAAAACACGAGGGGGAAAAGACACACGATGATGTTTCCCCATCTGACATGTTTCGCAATCAAACTGAAGACTAGAACTAGACATAAAAGGAAAATGTTGGAGTACGTCTGCTGAGGGGTGACCAAGGCGACAATGTAATCGATAGGAGTCATCTACAGCCTTCTTTTGAACGGTAGTGGCAGCAGCAAAAATCCCGGGGTCCAAAAAGTACAATCCACCAGCCTGACGCCCACCACCTATTCGGCGTCCAGTCTTCCGATCCTGAAAAACACATGAAGAAGAAGAAAAGATAATATCACAATCAAGTTCACGGGTAAGAGAACTGACATATAGTAGATTATGAGGAAAGGGACACAGAAGAACTCAATGATACACAACCTAAACCTGTCACTTTGGACTGAGAACCATCTGCCAAAGTGACTGAAGTGGACGAAGCTGATGAGGTTGAGGTAAGAAGATGCTGATCACCAGTCATATGATGAGTGGCACCCGAATCAATAACCCAAGGACGAGGGGTTGCTGTAGTGGACAAGAGACAAGTATGATCATTGCGCTCTGCCAAGGTAGCAACTGGATCTGAAGGAACACCAAGCTGTCGTGCCCTAATCAGTTCATCATATTCTGCACGAGTCAAATGTACCATATCCTGTCCAGACGGAAGTTCAGACGAAGGAGTTGAAACATGTAGACCCCAAAGCTCAGGATGGAGGTCATAGCAATAATTAACAGTATGTCCTGTAAGCTGACAATGAGTACAAAAACGACCCCCACTAGCTCTTCTAGAACCGCTACTACCACCACCACAAGGGGCACCTCGGCCCTGAACACCACGACCTCCTTTACCACCACGAGCCACCATAGCACTACTGTCTTCAACAAGAATGAATGAGGGGCAGCCGCTTCGACAGAGAGAACAACCCCGATGCAGATTTTATATTGAACACGGAACAGCAAGACAAATCAGGTTTCCCTTGAAACTACCAAAAAAAGAACAAGAACTTGCCAAGTTGCTTCGGTTTACGTTTGCACACATACGTGAATGGGAAGACTGTAACATGAAAGAAGACTCTGGGTCAACACAACAAGAGGGAGAGGGAGCGATCCCGAGTATGGCGACCCACAGCAACGTCTCCACCCCCTCCAGCCACGACCATCTCTACCTCCAGCAGCAGCAACAGGAACCCTTTCACCAGTTTCAGCCTCAGCCCTTTAACGCAGAGAGCTCACACGAGCTGGAGCAGGTCGCACGAACGAGCCAGATCAAGACCAAAGCCGCTGACAAGATTAATTCTTCAGCAATGACCTCTTTACATACGTTTCGCAAAATCTTCCTCTTTTATCATCTTCCTCGGACGCCAAAAGAAGAAGAAGAAGAAGCCACGGTTTTACCAATGAATTGAAGACAGGTCATCTCGAGATGCTAATATGGCTTTGCTCCAAATTCAAGAAACAGGACCAAGAAAAGCAAATGCCTCTCACTGAGGACAGAAATCAAACAGCTTACGTGCAGCAAAACGAGGAAAAACAAGAGCCCAAGACGAAAATATTGGAGAAGATCACCGTAAATGCGCGATGACCACCTCTCTTGGATCACTCGATCAGCATGAGTTTTGACTTCAACAGAGGCCGGTTGGGATTTCAAGCGTGGTTTGTGCGGAGAACGAAGAAGAAGAAGAAATCCTGACGCTGGCAGTCCGACGACCCGAGCGCGATGTCGAGGAAGCCGATGGTGTCCCCGCCAAAGAAGGGCTTGCCCTTGCTGATCTTGCCGAACGCGTCCTCCAGCAGAGATAGGCCTTCCACGACTTGGTCTATCGCAGCCTTCTTCGCCTCCTCCCCTTGCGCTCTCGCGATGCCGCTCATGGACGGGAACCACTTCTCGTCGATGTAGGCGGCCCAGAAGCGGGCGGTGGTGCGATCATAGGGATCGGAGGGGAGGATAGCTCAAGAGAAAGAGAGACGAGAGCCTGAGCTCTGATACCATGTGGCAAAGTTCTCTGTCTCTCTCTTCAATATAGTTAGTGGTAAAAGAAGATACAAAAAGGTATATATAGGCTTAACCTTAAGCCTAGCATAATTACAAAAAATGCCCCCAACTTGTTAACACTACACTAAATAATAAACCCAACGAAGATGATTGCCAAGGTTGGGAAATATCACCAAAAACTGAGTGAAGCCGGAATACATAAAGTGGGGGACTTTCTACTGCAATTGTTTACGGACCCCGTGAAACTGAAAGAGGTAGGCATTTAGATAATTATTCTCAATTAGGGTTTGATTGACTACAAAGAATGTAAGTCTGGTGTGTTCACTCATCATAGATTCTTGGGATGAGCTCAAATTCGACGAACTGGGATACCCTTGAAAATCATGCAAAGAGTTGCAACACCAATTGGAAACTTTATTTGTACTATCCTGATGGCGTGCGGAAGCCTGGTGCTGTCTTCAACACTGATCGTCAATGATCGGCTTAATCAAAGATAGTATATATTGTGCTACTCATCGACTTTCTGTTGATGAAAAGGTAAGTAACTAGGAGTTTCTACTAAGTTTTGCCAAGCCAGTTCATGCGCTATACACTATCATGCTTAATTCATATAATTTGTCTTGATGTTTACTCGTAGCTGTGTGGCTTAATAGGTTTTAGAATTAGTCAGAGATATGGAAACTTGAAACGAGGAGTTGGTTGGACATCTAGATGCTTTTGTTTTTGTTTTTTATCAGTAAAAATGGTATGAAGTGCCCGCAGAGAGAACAAAAAGACAATCTAGATGCTTTGTTTAGATCCATAGTTGAAACTTTTTATTAATAGATTGATTTTGAGCTTTTGCCTGTTGCAATGCATAGTTGAGGATAGTGACCTTGTATATCTCAGTGGCCTTCTGTACTCCGCAGTGAAAATTATACAAAAAAGCATGAGTAACCTAGAGATCAATTTCAGCAGTCGATTTGGTGTCATCCCTGAAAATCCGAGGCACTCTTCGTCGTATTGTCGTTTGAACGATTAACACATTCACGTTGCAACTATTACTTTCCAAGTTTAAAACTATGAAGATATTAATTACTTGCAGAATACAAGTTGATGCGTGTTTTATTTCTTCATTGGTCCTTTCTTGATCAACTTTGCATCTTCACCCTGAGGACCCTTGCCTTGATCATATTCTCCATTACATCTTTTGAGCACCTGACCTTTATGTGATGGAGAAATGGGCAGCGATACGCCTAAAGTGAATTGAAATTCTTTCAATGTTTCTTTTGTTATTCTTTCTCTGTGCTGCACTTATGTACTTACTCTGAATACAAGTTCATCCATTGGAATGCAACATCACTTGCTGAAATAAGATATTGCTGCTTGAAGTCAGAGCGTGTACTCGGGTTGATAAGTAATTTTTTTAGTCCAGCTTGTGTGATATACCGAGGGTTTTTCTTCCAGGAACATGGAGATACAATCGTGAAAAAGGCCTTTGATAACTGGAATGATGTTAAGGAGTTCAATGGAGAGACCTTTTCTTGTTCAATGCAGAAGAAAAGCTCACGCTCTTTTCCATCTCAAGTCTTACAAATTGAAAATTTCTCCCCTGTTCAATGTAAATTGACTCCACGAATCTGTGCCGCTCCAGATGGTCCGGAAGCTCCTCTGGCAAATGTGGGCTCTGCTGCTGAATGTACGTGCTCTAAAACACAAAACTATCTCTCCCTTTAAGCACAAAACTATATTTTATAAGCTGCGATTGTTGCAAAATGAGCCTCATTCAATACACTATCCATTTGGCCGTACATGGATGAATTTATGTACGTGTTCCGTCCAAGCAATTAAAAATTAGCTGATATTTGAGTGGGCGATTGGGGGAGGTTGAGGGCAGATTTCCATAATTCCTTCGCTAAAAACGGAATTTTGTTCCCATGGATGGTAAACAAGTAACGCTGATAGTAAATTTTAATATAGATGGTAAGTTAATGACCAGTAACCTATTAGTCCGGTCAACTATTGTAAGTAATGAATATCACAATTTCACCATTCGCAAACCCAATAGTAGATTACCGCTTATTTTTAATTTTTACAAGTGCCCAACTCTTTCGCTGTTCTTGCCCTTTGAGAAGACATCACCAAAAGCACCCTCCATGGGACCACAATCACCATCTGCAGCATCAGGAGTGCAGTTAGCATCTTAGGAGCACTCTATGCTCTACAGAGTTCAAAGTTTTGATTCATTCACCATGTTATGGTACTTTCAACTGGAGATGCTTTTTGTTGCTTTCATCTACTTGATGTCCACGATTTCCTTAATTGTATTTTGACCGCTTACTTTGCATCTTCCTACCTTGTTTGATCTGTCTGAGAAAAAAGAAGAAACATATTAGACACATCTTCTTAGTGCCTTGGTTATACATACAAGTCCAGCCTGAATTCTTAGAGTCACCTAGGGTGTAAGATAAGCCTGATAAAGCGACTGGCTCAGGAAGTAGTAATTGTCTAGTCTTCCGGGTCTACGCAGATAGGTTGGTGAAAAAGGCCTATGAGAATTGGAATGATATTATACAGTTCGAGGATGAGGCTTCTTCACGTTCCATGTTGTAGGAGATCTCATTTTCTTTTTCTATGTGAAGTTCTAGGAGAGCAACAATACTGCCATCCAGTTCATGACAATATGCCTCCGCTGAGATTGGGTAGTCAAGTTGGTTTGAAAGTACCTCCTAAAAGTTCAGCATCCATAGTGGAAGGTATGTGCTCTAACTAGCTATGAGGTAAAGAAAAAGTTGCTCGTAATTAAACACTAGCCGAGATGTAGCCACTTCTTTTGTGGTTTTAGATTATCAAAGTGACATGATGCAGCTAAAACGTTCCACAGTACCAAACACCTTTGGGAGGGAAATATGCAGGCTTCCAATGATATGGCTTTAGAGGTGATTAAAATGAACTGTTCCATAAGTAACATAGAGTCAGACAACAAGCACCACATCCTTTTGTTGGTTCTTTTATTTTGTTTGTGCAGTGATTTTTCACCACTTTGAGTTTGAGATCATGCTTTTTCCCACCTCATTTCTTGTTTATCTTCAGATCCTTCCATTTAACAGGTTTATTCTAATGAGAAATGTTGCATCGATTTTCTGGTATATGCGACATGAAACAAACCTCAACATTTTGATGTACCATTTTCGAACAACTATATAAGCTATATGCAAAGAGATAAAGTAAAGCTACATTTAGCATCTTGTGAATTACAAATATGTGCTGGATGTCTTACTAGACATAAAGGGAGGAACAAACAGAAAGTAATATGCTGCAGATATCCAAGTGAACTTACTCTGTGTGTGAACAAGCGAACCTGTTGTTTTACAAGTCTTAACGGTTTTCAAAAGATCAGTAATGTGAAGAGGAAACAGTGCGTTTTCCATATGTACCTCATACACAGGGGAGTGTAGATGTGACAACCTTGAGGCACTCCAGAAGCGCAATGGGATATGATTTGACCACCAATGCAGACCATGAATGTGGGCAAGCCAGGAGTAGCAAGTCTCTTAGGTGTGGAATCAAATGCTGATCGTTTAAATGTTCTCTCTCTCCAGGATATAGTGGCATTACTGCTGCTAGAATGCCAACACAATCCCAAAGTCTCAAATCCCAAAATGGCATGGGGAACCAAATTGACAGTTTGGACCAAGCGGTGCCTTCAGAAGATGACAATGTACAGCCATTCGAACAACTGTATGGATCACCGTCAAACTTCCTAGCCTTCAGTACGTTGAATTGTCCCTATACTGTCGATTGCTTCGCGTTATGGTATTGTTTTATCCTGTTTTGTAGAAAAATTGAGAAGAAAGTTTAGGACTTCTAAACTGAAAATATGCAGAGTTAATATTAGCTGTGATGATGAATGTGGTGTGGGGGAGACTTACTGGATTGAAAGCAGAATGTTATCACCGATGCTGCGGCGTTGGTTTTGGGTCATTATCCTTTTCATTGGACAGATTCGTGTGTGTAGAAGAGTAGGAGTTTCATCAGCTCATTTCTTCTCATTAAGGAAAGCAGTTTGTTCTTTTTCTTACTGTTTTACGCCAAGAAATGGACAGAGCAAGTACAGAGAGCGTGCCAATAAAAACCAACACCCCACAACTCTGGAATGGTCAAATTAGCATTAGGAAGCCATTAAATGAGTTTAAAAGGTGGATATTTTTGTGATATTTGCTGTGATCAGTCCCATTTAGGAGCGTAAATGTGAAGATGGCTCAAATGAAACACTAAATCATTTGGAATCTCAAGTATTATACTCGACTCCATTT